GGGGGGGGGTGTTTTAGTAAGCGTTTTACGGCACTTGCAACACAGTTAGGTCATACAAGAGCCAAAGAATACAGGTGTTGCAAGTTCAAGGCGGTAGTAACAAACCCACACATAAAAATGAGAGATACGAAACATAGATGCTACCTGCTCTATCAAAATCGTGCGATTATTCTGAGTCTGAGTCGTTATCAAGATACATGTATTCAAAGACTTGCAATCGAAAAAGCTTGCCACGTTATTTAAAAAAAATGTAATAATAATAATAATAATAATAATAATAACAACACTACTACTAATAATAAATCGTCAAATTTCTCAGAACTAGGTGCTGAGCAGGCAGAGCTTAGTACTTCTAGGGCAACGATATGTCTGATCATTAGCGTGAATAGCACACCACCACACACAAATCAGAAGCACAGCTTGCAGTATATTATTTCATTGTTTGAATGTTGTTGCCTGCCTTTAAGCTCCATCATCTATCGAAAACAAGAGAAAAAAAAAATAATGATAATAATTATTATTATAAAGGATGAATATCGATGTTGATATTTTCTTCTGTTAAAATACTCTCTCGCTCTCTCTCTCTCTCATTTTTCTTTTTTTTTAATGCAGGAGTTTTTATGTCCCCATCGATACAAATTAGACCACTAAGGTGGCGGCTTCCAACCCTGTCTGTCAGGGCCAACCCGGGCCGAGAGGGATACAAGATCCCAGCAAAAAGATACTCGAAAATTTCCTCCCCACACGGGAACCGAACTCGTGTCCCCTGCGTGCGAGAGCGAGCGCCTAACCGCTACACCACAGACGCTAGTTCTGAGACTCTTCTTGCCACAACGAGGACAAAGCCGAGATAGGCTATGGTTTGCGCGCTCATGTGACCTTATGTAGTAGCAAGCGCCGTAAAACTCTTACTAAAACTAAAAACTAAGAGATATGGTTTGCAATGTCGACGTGGCCCAGCTCAGTCCTCGACGTGATCAAACAACGCCCCAGAGTTCTTTTAGTTTAGTTTAGTTTTGTTTTGTTTTATAAGCTTTATAGCTCGTCCAACCCAAGCATATCATTGTTTTTTAAATTGTTTGTTTGGTGATTTCTGTATTTTGGTTTGTTTGCTTTTGTTTGTTTGTTTTGTTTTGTTTCGTTTTTTAAAGGGAGGGGCTGGGGGTGGGGATGTCTATATAACGTTTCATTCCATTTACTTTGAGCCTTGAGGTTTTAATCTTAAATAATATATGACAGTCTTGTTTGCTTGTCTTTTCGAGCAATATTTTTTCAACGTTACATTAGGCTGACGTGAAAGGTCACTTCTCCCCGGTACGGGTGGCTTTTTTTCCGGGGGGTCCACCAGAGGTTGAAAATAAACATGTTTGCTGTACGGGTCTGGAACACATTTCGTTACAGTTTTTATTCTACTTTCTTTGATACAAACAAGCAAAACTCCCTTATGAAGACATGATAATTGGACATTTCCGAAACCGAAAAGCAGGTGGTTGGCGGGTGCTCTGGTGTGGTTTGCTCCTTCTTTCCTATCAAACATCTATCGTTCCTTCCTCCTTTTTGTGTTTGTTAAGTTACTCTCAAATAACATAAATTTTAATCGTCTGCACTTATATGAACAAATTGAGTTGAAAGTGCCATAAAACTTTTACTCTTACTAAAACGAAACCGAACAATGGCGCAGCACAAGCAGGGAATCATACATACAGAGAAGTGTTTAGTTTTCGTTTTAGTACAGGTTTTACGGAGCTCGCAACTGCAAAAGGTCATATGAGCGCCAGAAGATTAGAGGTGTTACAAGAGAGT